CTGTAATAACTCTGATACTGGGGATAATAAGAATAAAAATTCCCTTGCCACTTAAAAATCAGATCTAATTAAAATACCTAAAATAAAGTCAATACGTGTAATTAGAAAGGATTAACTAATAAAATAACCATGATTCATTGGTTTCTTTGCTGATGTCAGTATTTTTAGTACGTCATTACAAATTATCGACGCCACCTATACCACTAGATTCAAAGATATTCATTAAGCTGGACAAATTAACCTACGTACTTGCTATATGCTTATAGTCGTTGCTGTATAAACTACACGTAATCTAGTTTATTAAGAATTGTAAGTTGACAGGCGTATAAATGACAGGAAACGTAAAAAATAGAAGATAGTTTACAGTTTTTTTATTGATAAGATTTAAAAGTTCATAATTGAATATGTGACAGTAAGAAAAAAAATCCGCTCTAGTACATTGGGCTGCATTACTAGATACGAAATTGTTCTTACTGACATTAGTAGCGTTACCTTTACGTCACAATAAATATTACTTTTGTTATTGACGTAAGAGATCACTATAGTAAACTCTGTTATCGTAATTTTCATGATTTTCATTCAATTTTACAATCATCGAACACTCGTATTTTTGATGAATAAGATCGAAAATACTATGTCTAAATATTTCAATAGTGATATTACGTAAGTCTACCACAACATTTATTTAAAGTTCATTATTGTAACACTGTCCAGTATTGGCCTTGTCTATAAGATTGATAGTAGGAAATTGTAGTGCTAATCCAAAAGAATTGATTATACACTTGGAGTAAGTACTCCAATTATATAATTACTCTACCTAATAGAAAAAAATATTTAAACAGTTTTTAATTTTCAACAAAGTACATAAAATTTTTTAGAAATGAAAGATTTAATTAAAAATTTGTTTTCAGTTGTATTTTGTCGGCGACAATGTTCAGAAGTGGTATACAGGATTTTAGCAACGAAGACGGAGCTGGTGGATCTTCCTCGAATAATCTCAATGGCTGCACTGTTTGTAAAAGAACTTTTACTAATTCCAACGAGATTATTCACCATACATGTTTACCGACTGGTAAGATGCTTTAAAAATGCACTGTTTTGCTTTCTAAACTTGAGAAAAAATATCATTTTACAGGACGTATGCAGATTCACTCCGGCGAAAGACCTTACTCTTGTAATGAATGTCCACGAGCCTACAAAAATAAATATAATCTTACATGTCATATGCAAACTCACTATGGTGAGAGACCTCATCAATGCAACATGTGCTTCAAAACCTTTCAATACAAATGTCATCTCAGATCTCACATGCGGACTCACTCCGGAGAAAGACCTTACCGCTGCAACGTGTGTTCACAAGCCTTTAGAAAACAAAGGTATCTTACAGTTCATATGCATACTCACTCCAGCGAAAAACCTTATCACTGCAACGAGTGTTCAATGACCTTTAAACACAAGGCCAATCTTACAACTCACATGCGGACTCACTCCGGAGAAAGACCTTACCGCTGCAACGTGTGTTCACGAGCCTTTAGTCAAAGATCTGATCTCACAGCTCATATGTGCACTCACTCTGGCGAAAAACCTTACCGATGCAACGTGTGCTTCCAAACCTACCGTACAAGTAGTTATCTCTCCAAACATAAGAAAATTCCACACACACATCGCTGCAACGTGTGTTTACAATCTTTTGTACAGATGAATCATCTTGAAAGTCACATGCGCAACCCGCATCTCTTTTACTGCGATGTTTGCCAAAAATATTTTGCTACTTCTTCTTGTCTTAAGATGCATAATCTGTACATCCATAATAACTTATAAGTAGGGAATACCCTGCTATTAGCAAATTAGGCCACAACAATGTAGTACATCGGCTTTTGACAAATATTTTTTATGATTTAATGTATAATCCATTGGATTGTTTATAATTGATACAACAATATTTATGTAGCAAAATATTTTTTAACTGTCTGTTTGAATTTACATGCACGGAAGTTGGTTCGTTATAAGTAACATCTCAAATTCTGTTAATTTTATAAGGTTTGCAGCCACAACTTGCATATTTTTTTTTGTTTAGCCTCTTACGAGCCGCAAAGAAAATTTTTTTTGTACATAATTTTTTCTAAATTTTTGTACTATTGTTATCTCACAGTCGATTAAAAATTTAGTACATCATTTTTNTAGATACGAAATTGTTCTTACTGACATTAGTAGCGTTACCTTTACGTCACAATAAATATTACTTTTGTTATTGACGTAAGAGATCACTATAGTAAACTCTGTTATCGTAATTTTCATGATTTTCATTCAATTTTACAATCATCGAACACTCGTATTTTTGATGAATAAGATCGAAAATACTATGTCTAAATATTTCAATAGTGATATTACGTAAGTCTACCACAACATTTATTTAAAGTTCATTATTGTAACACTGTCCAGTATTGGCCTTGTCTATAAGATTGATAGTAGGAAATTGTAGTGCTAATCCAAAAGAATTGATTATACACTTGGAGTAAGTACTCCAATTATATAATTACTCTACCTAATAGAAAAAAATATTTAAACAGTTTTTAATTTTCAACAAAGTACATAAAATTTTTTAGAAATGAAAGATTTAATTAAAAATTTGTTTTCAGTTGTATTTTGTCGGCGACAATGTTCAGAAGTGGTATACAGGATTTTAGCAACGAAGACGGAGCTGGTGGATCTTCCTCGAATAATCTCAATGGCTGCACTGTTTGTAAAAGAACTTTTACTAATTCCAACGAGATTATTCACCATACATGTTTACCGACTGGTAAGATGCTTTAAAAATGCACTGTTTTGCTTTCTAAACTTGAGAAAAAATATCATTTTACAGGACGTATGCAGATTCACTCCGGCGAAAGACCTTACTCTTGTAATGAATGTCCACGAGCCTACAAAAATAAATATAATCTTACATGTCATATGCAAACTCACTATGGTGAGAGACCTCATCAATGCAACATGTGCTTCAAAACCTTTCAATACAAATGTCATCTCAGATCTCACATGCGGACTCACTCCGGAGAAAGACCTTACCGCTGCAACGTGTGTTCACAAGCCTTTAGAAAACAAAGGTATCTTACAGTTCATATGCATACTCACTCCAGCGAAAAACCTTATCACTGCAACGAGTGCTCAATGACCTTCAAACACAAGGCTAATCTTACAACTCACATGCGGACTCACACCGGCGAAACACCTTACCGCTGCAACGTGTGTTCACGAGCCTTCAGTCAAAGATCTGATCTCACAACTCACATGCGCATTCACTCTGGCGAAAGACCTTACCACTGCAACGTGTGCTTCCAAACCTACCGTACAAGTAGTTATCTCTCCAAACATAAGAAAATTCCACACACACATCGCTGCAACGTGTGTTTACAATCTTTTGTACAGATGAATCATCTTGAAAGTCACATGCGCAACCCGCATCTCTTTTACTGCGATGTTTGCCAAAAATATTTTGCTACTTCTTCTTGTCTTAAGATGCATAATCTGTACATCCATAATAACTTATAAGTAGGGAATACCCTGCTATTAGCAAATTAGGCCACAACAATGTAGTACATCGGCTTTTGACAAATATTTTTTATGATTTAATGTATAATCCATTGGATTGTTTATAATTGATACAACAATATTTATGTAGCAAAATATTTTTTAACTGTCTGTTTGAATTTACATGCACGGAAGTTGGTTCGTTATAAGTAACATCTCAAATTCTGTTAATTTTATAAGGTTTGCAGCCACAACTTGCATATTTTTTTTTGTTTAGCCTCTTACGAGCCGCAAAGAAAATTTTTTTTGTACATAATTTTTTCTAAATTTTTGTACTATTGTTATCTCACAGTCGATTAAAAATTTAGTAGTAAGATATATGTTGTGTGTGTGTGCGGTGTGTAGTTTTTCTGTTCTCGTCATACTCACAATCCTTGCATCTAAGATTAGCTCTTATGTAATATTAAAACACATACATGTATATCTACACAATAATTTTGTATTTCAATACACGTAATCTAGTTTATTAAGAATTGTAAGTTGACAGGCGTATAAATGACAGGAAACGTAAAAAATAGAAGATAGTTTACAGTTTTTTTATTG